TTTTTCTTCGTTTGCGACAGGCCACCGCTAACATTATTTATTTTTAAAAGCTTGTTGGTGTCAATGAGTTTAATGTGTCATATTTAATACAATGTTTAGCTTTTCGTTTCTTGTTCATTCCAATTTTAGCTTTTCCTTCTTTTACAGGTTTTTTTTTTGTTGTTGGTGGTGTTTGATTGTACTTTGTTATGTCAGCAGAGGATCTGAGTAACACCGTACAACAGCAGCAGCAGCAACAACAACAGCAACAGCAACAACAGCAGCAACAACAACAGCAGCAGCAACAGTTCCCGGTTAATCATTCGTCAAATACAGCATCTTTACCTCAGTATTCCGTACCAGCACCACAAGCCTCTAACGGCTCTAAATATAGCCAACTACTTTGCGTGAGTTTCTTTACTTTTGTTTTCACAAAGATGACTAAGCTCTCTTTTTACTCAAAAATTCTGATTTTAATTAGTCTCTTATTTCCAGTGGTTGTTACAAATAAGATAAGTGTTTTACTGGACTTTTGTGCCAAGTTTCTTTGACGAACGTGAAAATTCTTTCTTTTTTTGGTTTTTTCACTCTAAAAATTGCTTCTTTTTTGAGCTGCTTAAATTTATTTTTACACTAGTAAGTATCTTGTTTTTTTATTATTCAGTAGTAATTTTGTGGTACTCAGAAATCTCTGATTTTGAATCTCCATTCAAAGAGTATCTGTATCTGGGTACTTTTTGCGGATTATGGATTGTACATAGTATTTTTATCGGTGGTGAGCTGCTAATCAGTTTTCCTTTTTGCTTTTCTAGAAATTTTTGTTACAATTTTTTGAAAAGATGAGATTTTTTTTGGAGACGACAAAATAGATGCTTCTTGAAGTTTCACGAATGATATGCGAATGATATGTTACCTGCATATTTGTAACGTGTAAAAACCTGTTGATGGTATTTCCAACGTTGCAATACCGTACTAAGGAAAAAGAAATATTTTTTTGTTGACGCTTAATTATAAAGTTATCGTGGATTTCTGTTTTAAAGGTTACCTCTTTTTTTCTTCAGTGCCATTGTTTTAGGTAATTGAAGAATTAAATAAGGATATAAGGCCAACTTACACCGGGAATAAAATTTGTGCGGAACGTTTAAAAAGAAATATAATTGGAGCTAGGATATTAGTTCGTGAATGTTTGATGGAAACTGATCGGGCAATGCGCCACTGAAACCTCTGTAATTTCTGTTTATTCTTCATTAAAAGTATAATAATTATTGGTAATCCATATGCCAGTGTCTTCGGTTGATAAGATTATTCTTCCTGAACGCCCTGCTGCTCTGCGATATTGTACGCAAATAGCTTTTCCTTACAAACTCGTGGTTTCCACTTATGAACTCAAAGGTGGCCTCCGAAGAGGTTCGTTGTGGTTTGTAGATGACAGCCATAGTAAAATTAAGAATCTTCAAATGTCTGCCGGAGTATTTCGTTTCGATTTATTTCCCGATGGCATAACGTTGGTTGCATCGCTAACAAACGGCTGCTTGAGTACGGTCAATTTGGAATCATTTTCTGCCACCGACCTCCTAGTCAGTATGGATGCTATGCTCCTTAGCGCGTGTGTGTCTCAGCAACAGGTGCTTTGCTCCGACAATTTTGGGAATGTTCATGTGGTGGACCTGCTTTCAGGTAGCCCTTTATTTCGTACTGTTTTCTTCAGCAGTTAGAAGACAATTAATTGGACTAGAACTTTTTTCGTTAACAGTATTCGATCGACCATTTAGTTGTGACCGACTAGAAATTAATGGCGAATTATCAATGCTTATCAAAGAAAAAAAAAAA